CTAATTTAAATTAGTGACTCACTTTTTGCTTTAGTATTAGTTAAATTTTACTAATTGTTAGTAAAAGTTACTAATAATTAGTAAAATTTTACTAATTCATAAGCAAAAAGTGAGTCACTAATTCAAATTAGTAAACACTTTTACTAATTCAGATTTAGAGAGCATTTAACAAAAAAAGTGGAACACTCCTTCGAGAGAATAGAGATTAAGTTTTTGCTTACTAATTACTAACGAGGATACATATAGAAAGAAAAACTTTTTTCTATGTACTTTTATAATGTTAAAATAATAGTGTAATAAAAAAAAAACAATTTTTGATATAAGAAAAAATTATTGAAAATACCGTTCGGATTTACCCCGGTTTTCCAATTGTCCGGGGTAAATACGAACGTGTCTGATATTATTAATAAAATTTTACAGAAGGCAAAAATCAAAAATAATTTCTGTTCTAGTATTCATAACAAACAATTATAAATAATAAAATGAATTTTTAGCTTCATTTTCTTCAAATACGAGACAAAATACTGAAAGAGTATCATTTTTGATTTTCAATCATTTTTGCAATACTCATTATTTTTGTTTATGCTGTTGCTAATTAACAAAACAAAAAATGGAATAATACTTAGAATCTCTTGAAGAGGATCTGAGATAAAAATTCTCATGTCTAACTTATTTTTTAAAATTTTAATTAAACTAAAATAATTAGCGTTCGGATTTACCACGGCTGACCCTGTAGAAATATTGGTAATAATTTAATACCGACTATACACTGTAAAAAGAAGATACTAAAAATAGTACCAATTTTAGGTATTAAAATAGAACTAATAGGCAATTTAGTACCTAATGTTGGTATTAAATTAATATCTTTCGTTTTACAGTGTAGATACTTTTGGTTCTATATTGATACCTCGATACTTTTTTTACAGTCTAATAGAAAGAATCACATTAAAATTATGTCACAAAATGATAATTTAAAAATTTTCACTAAAAAAGTAAAATTAAATAATTGCTGAAATTTTCTCTATTGGCACATACATTCAATGGATACAATATAAGTGATACTCAAGAGAGTGAGATCTAGGCCAGAGTGCCTATTTCCAGAATTCTCAAAATTGTCGCTGAGTAACATTCTCCTTGAAAATCTTTGTATGTATCTATATAGTTTCGTGAAGTGCACCTTTGCGTCATCGATCTTTGCACATAAATCAGTCGTATGTATATATATATATATATATATATATATATATATATATATGTATATACTCGTGAGCTTGAGGGTCTATAGAAGAAAAGCTTAGTGACGCCAACAACGTATCACGAACGTGACTTGGATAGGATAGTCGACAGTGAGCTCAACTTATCGGCCAATGAAACGATCGTCCACCCCCTATATATACACTAACTATGCTTTACCTTTCCATTGTATATAAACGGGTTTCGTGAAATACAAGAAGAACGATTGGAGCATCTCAAACCTTCTAAAACCAATTGCAAGATTTCGTCCATCCCTATATCTTCAATTGCACTAACTGCATTTCAATTCAATTGAAAAACCAATCAACATACATCATTAATTTTTTACTTTTGATTTTATTAACCCCCCCCCCCTTTTTCTTACCTGCAGTAATCAAAAATGTATTTTTCAACGAGAAATCATAAACGTTTATTTTCTAAATTAACCGATTATATTTGAAATTATTTTTTCATATATACCTATGAATCAACATCATCCGTATAAAATGAATATATGAATATGAGTAAAAATATTATTTTATAACAAATATTTCTATATTTATTACATATTTCATTTTTTTTCCATAGACAAAATATAACATGACAATGTACGCAGTAAATTTTATTAAATTTTTATACCACCACTATGTTGTGTAATATTTTCTCTTTGGTAGAGTTTAGAAGGCAATTTATCTTTATCTAAAAGATTTAACAAAGTAAAACAGCAAACTAGATAATTTTTCTCTTTTTGTCAAACGATAATCTATGTATGTATACAAGGTACATTTGTGTAAAGTCAATGAATAAAGACAAAACAGAAGAGAACTCGATAAAACGACAACAGACTCTCAATATCCAATTTACGAAATAAATAATAGTCCTAGAATCGTAAATTTCTCTAAACCATACACCTAGAGAAATGTTTTATTTGAACCAAATATAATATATATTTGAGTTAAATAAACGTATATTTGTCTCACGCCTATTTATTTGGTGTAAATAAAATTTTTTATTTAAATCAAATAAAAATTTATTTGGTTCTGAGACAAATATACAATTTCTTTGTGTGTAGTTAGAAAATTTTACTTTGCGTTAAAAGAAAAACAATCTTTTTTTTTAAATATAATAAATATATATTTTATTATAAAGTACAAAAAAAAAATTGAAAAATAATTTTATTTACTGTAAATAAAAAAACAATTCTTTGTTTTAATTTGTATAGCGCTGTACATCTTTGAAAAGACAATGAGAAATGTCCTGGGCTGTAGCAAAGTAAAAGGAAGAGAGATACATTTTAACTTTGTAGAAAATGTAACGTATTATTAGTTTGGGACAAGAAAATAGCTTCACGAGACTATATATAGCAATTGGAATGCTTAACAGTCTAAAGCACAATTCAAAAGCTCGAATTATTATTATTATTTAAAGAGAAATGAAAATGGAATTCGAATGATAATAATTATTATTTAAAGAGAGAAATGAAAATGTAATGTTTAATGGAATTCATAGTAGATGATGATAATAATCTTTCGCTCTCTTTCTCAAAAAAAAGAGAGAGAGAGAGCAGCAAGAGATTATTAGAGGAAAAAAAATGGGGAGAAAATAATTAAAGATAAGACAGAATTTTGTTTCCAAGTAATGCAATGTTTCTTCCATTTACCCGTTTTTTTTTCCGTAACAAAAAAAGTTTATTGAAAATAAGAAAATTTAAATTAAAAAAAAAACGCTTTATTATTTATAAATATTTCCACAAAAAAAATTAATAATTTACTGGAAAAAAAATTCAATTTCAAAAAAAAAGAATGAAAAAAAAATATCTCACTGAATAATTATTAATTTTCTATTCAAAGAGAAAATGGTGAAAAGATACAAAAAGAAGTATGCGTGCGAGTGGTAAAAAGAAAAATAGACCCTTATTTCTTTCTATTGCCTAATGTGACAGTTTTCTTTTCTTTTCTTTTTTTTTGCAAAACGTTATTTTCTTGTTTTAAACTGAACAATGCTAAAAGTTTCTTTAAAGTTTTCAAAATGTATATATATATCTCTTTTACTTGGCCCTTCAGGCTATAAGCGAGAGGACGGTCCTCATTGTCTTTCCAGGTGCACAATACGGATTAAAAGGATTGCAGTTTTATGATTTAAAATCTTTTATCATAACAAAAATAAAAGATATGCCTCTCTCTCTCTCTCTTCACACTTTTTTTTATTTCTCACAATATTTAATTGAATTTTCTCTCTCAAGTAGAATAAGCCAAACCATTTTTTAATTTACTTCACTTCATAAAATACTATATAATTAGTGGGGAAAATCTTTTCAAAAAAAAAAAAATGCTATTCTATTTTAATTACATATTGAAAAGAAAATTAATTAAAATTTTTTTTCTTGTTATCGATTTTATCTCTTTTTTTTACATATATATATATATATATATATATATATATATATATATATATATATATATATATTGTACACGTGAAAAGTAAATAATGTTCAACTACTTATTGATATTTCAAATGTTTTTATAGCAGTTGAGAAACTAGATCAAATATTTATATTGAAATATAAAAAGAAAAATCGAATGAGTTTCCAAAGTTTCAAAGGTTGTTTTATCCCTCCCCCTCATGTCAAATAAAGGTTGTAAAAGTTTTATGATCCTATCTCAAGAACTTAGGGATAAACATGATTAGAATGAAGTACACTCAATTTATAATAATAAATAATCTAAATGAAATTCAAATAACAAAGTATTCTAATTTATATGAATCTTCACTAAATTTATGCATAGAATAAATAATTTTTTTTGAAATAAAAAAAAAATATATATATATTCAATCTACATTTTGATGAAAATTGTAAAAATTTATCGCTATTATATTATTATTTTGCTAAACTATAAAAAATTTATAGAAGATCCGAATTCCGAATTTGTTTTTTGTAACTTTAAATATAAAATACAGCTTCAAAAATAAATTTTTAATTTTAATGTACATTTTTTTTATTGCTGCAGTAATTTTTTTTTTAATTTTAAAAAAAAAAAATTACAGAATAAAAAAATCATTTTATTTGATTGTTGAAAATTTTAATTTTGTTAATAGTGCACAAAAAAAAAATAAACATTCAGAAATAATTCCGCGTAAGACATATTACGTATACTAAAAAGAAACTTTCGCGTCTGGCCACACCTGACTTTTAAATTGGCCCATCTGGCACCCACTAACAATATATATATATATATATGTGTATAAGAATGTGGGTGATCGTCAGACCGTGGAAATATCCTTTCTTTTAAAAAGCCTAGCATTACTTTTCCGTTAAGGAATATACAATTTAAGTCTCGTGAGAAACTTTTTAATCACCATAGAATCTTAATTGTTTCTAGCAATTCAACATTATATTTATTTTGACAATTTCTATAATACTAGCCTTTGAAAGTGTTAGAAAACATCCCTGAAAAAAAAACCATTTTTTTTTATCAATAGTCAAAAACAAATTTATAGCAAAAACAAACGCAAAAAACATTCTTCGAATAAAGTTTCTTAATTAAGAAACAGTACAAAAAAACTTCTGGACCATTGTTTATAATGTCTATTCGCAGAAAATTGGAGAATGAGAATTTGAGCGATAATTAAAAAAAAACAAAAAAGACAATTTTCCCTCAATGGGGGGGGGGAAACAATTTTTTCTCTTGGGCACAAACTTTCAAATTTTGAATGAGAAAATATTCTGTTTCTTTTTTTTTAGAAAAAAAAAAACAAAAATTGCTCACCTTTGACGCCCGAAGCGAGAACAAAATGTGTGAAGAGCAGAAGTCCGAGTACACGAGATGCCATCTCTATCCTAACTCTCCTGGAGTCTTCCGGTTGGTCCACTTCCTTTTTCTTCTTCAAGCGTACCAATTTGAAAACCCCCGGGCAACACGGCGATTACACATATATATGAAGTCACGCTACATCGAAAGCAGCACTTTTTTTTTTCTTTCCTCTTCTTTCCAAATATAACCCCCCCCCCCAACAAAAAAAGGCACCTTCCTTAAATCAACATATAGAAAGTTGAGCAGGCCCTTTTTTTGCACGTTTAATTCCTCACACACTTTTTTCACGTTCGATGATACAAAAAAAAAAAAAATAACTAAATAAAACCCCTTTTTTCCCCTCTCCAATTACTCCAATTTACGCGCACGGTTCCACAAAATTAACACACAAAAAAAAATTTAATTAAAAATTAACACCAAAAAGTTTACAAAATTAACACCAAAAACATTTTGTTCGAAAAAGGGGGGGGGGAGAAAAATGCCAAAAAAAATTATTTTTTGCAACAAATGTGTTGAAAGAAAAAAAGCGCGGGAAATTTTTTAGCCGCTTAATGATGTCATGATCTATAGATCAAAATTGAAAAAAACTATCGATGTGATATATATATGTGTATATCTATAGATTGTATATAAGAATTGGGGAATAAACGCGGCAGCCGTACGAGGGTTGAAGCCGCGAACGACTGCCTTGAATCAGCAACGATATGTGGAGCAGGCTTCGCGAAACTGCCGAGCGCTTCAGTTCGTTCAATTTCGGACGACATCGCGCACCTGTCGTCGTCTTCGTCGTCCCTGTTGTGTAAGCCAATGCGCAAGTCTATGGGAACCACTCACATATATACACAACTTACTACATCATCTATATATACACACACACACACACACAACTCACTAATATATATATATATACACCGGCTGTCCGGGGATGCAGGTGGAAACCCACTGGGGTCGAGTTGGGGTGACGAGTCGAACGAGGGAAAATCTCAAGTGTTTCATTGGACATGTCTTCTTTTTAGACAGTTTCAATAGACAGGTCACACAAGTCCATGGGATAAGTCTTAAAGAGGACACGAGGGATTTTAAAACGCTTAAAACACATCAATATTTACAATACATGCGTTCTTTCAATATATATTTAAATAAAGAGAAATTTCTTTTTTTTGTTTTTAATTAGAAAATTTAAATTGATTAAGTAGAAAATTTAAATCAAATATAGAGTAGAGTTTTAACTCGAAAAATTTCACTCCGAACTTCGATTGCAATTAAGGTCGCAAATTTTTACAGTGAGAAAAAGGGTGTTTGATTTTAACTCCCAGTGGAGTGTTATATAACTGTTGGAGTTGATTTTTAACTCTGAAAATTTTACTCCCAACTTCTGTTACCTTTAACTCCCGAAATTTTTACATTGAAGATAAGGGTGTTTGATATTTAACTCCGCAAATTTTACTCCTAACTACTACTACTTTTCGCCTTTAACATCCGAAATTTTTACACTAAAGAAAAGGGTGTTTGATTTTAACTCCCAATGGAGTGTTATCTAACTGTTGGAGTTGATTTTTAACTCCGTAAATTTTACTCCCAACTCCTGTGACCTTTAACTCCCTAAATTTTTACACTGAATATAAGGGTGTTTTATATTTAACTCCGCAAATTTTACTCCTAACTACTACTACTTTTCGCCTTTAACTTCCGAAATTTTTACACTAAAGAGAAGGGTGTTTAATTTTATCTCCCAATGGAGTGTTATCTAACTGTTGGAGTTGATTGTTAACTCCGTAAATTTTAATCCCAACTCCTGTGACTCCCAACTTCCTAAATTTTTACACTGAATATAAGGGTGTTTTATATTTAACTCCGCAAATTTTACTCCTGACTACTACTATTTTCCGCCTTTAACTCCCAAAATTTTTACACTAAAGAAAAGAGTGTTTGATTTTAACTCTCAATGGAATCTCAACTCTTGGAGTTGATTTTTAACTCTGCAAATTTTACTCCAACTCCTGTGACCTTTAACTCCCTAAATTTTTACACTGAATATAAGGGTGTTTTATATTTAACTCCGCAAATTTTACTTCTAACTACTACTACTTTCCGCATTTAACTTCCGAAATTTTCACACTAAAGAAAAGGATGTTTTATATTTAACTCCGCAAATTTTACTCCTAATACTACTATTTTCCGCCTTTAACTCCCGAAATTTTTACACTAAAGAAATGGTGTTTGATTTTAACTCTCAATGGAATCTTATCTAACTCTTGGAGATGATTTTTAATTCTGCAAATTTTACTCCCAACTCCAGTTGCCTTTAACTCCCGAAATTTTTATACTGAAATAAAGGGTTTTCAATTTTAACTCCTAATGGGACTCTAGAAAAATCTCACAATTTTGGAGTTGAAGCAAAAATGATAACAGAGTTATAATTTTATGCCTAGGGAGTTAATCTAATCTAACTCTTTAAGTTAATTTTTAACTCCAAAAATTTTACTCCCTTCTCGTCTTTAACTCCTGAAATTTCCTACAGTGTAATATTTATAACTGTTCATACACTGTAAAAAAATTTGAAAAGCAACTAAAGTTTGGAGTAAAATTTTAGAAGTTAAAAATCAACTCCAAGAGTTAGATTAGATTAACTCCCTATGCATAAAATTATAACTCTGTTATCTTTGCTTTAATTCCAAAAGTGTAAGACTTTTCTAGAGTCCCATTGGAAGTTAAAATCAAACACTCTTTTCTTCAGTGTAAAAATTTCGGGATTTAAAGGCAACCGACGGTGGGAGTATAATATTTGAAGTTAAAAATCAACTCCCAAGATTAGATTAACTCCGTAGGTATAAAATTAACTCTTTTTGTTACACAGAGAAAAATAGAAAAACGAATAAAATAACTTTTACTACTTTTAAAAATAAAACCTAAACTTTCTGCAGTTTCTGCGCATTTCTGGCAATTTTTACTCTAGAAATATTAACATTTACTATTTCAGGAGTAAATTTCACTATTTCTGGAGTAAAATTTAACAGAAACTGCGGAAAATTTTTTAAACTAATTGGAATTAATGACTCACTGTTTGTTTTTTTAGTTAAATTTTACTAAATCAAAAGCATAAAGTATAACCATCGAAATTTTATTTTGACTTTTAAAATACTATGAATCAAAAACATATAATTTGAAAAATCAAAATAACGTGGCTTCCATAGCTTTTAAAAGATTAGATAGGTATATATATATATATATATAATTCAAAAATAACTTATGATCAAATACCGTATGCAACAACGAACCATGAATGTACACTTAATATTTTATATATAAAACATATAATGGAGTGGGAGTGGAGCACTTCATCATTGGACTTTTAGAGATGAGGTACTTTAACGAAATTAAGATCTCTTGAGATTCACAACATTCAGAGGAATCTATCTATTTCTCTCTCGCTGCCTACGCCATTCACGCAAATGCCTTTTGATGCTGCGAGCAACAGATTTAATTTTAGAAAATATTCTACAACGTGATTTTCTCTATATAAATTTGAAGTTCGTTGGTTTGTTCACGTGCATTCGTATATATAAGTACGGATGAACATTTTGTGTCCCGCCTGGAGAACACAGATAATGCAAAGGGATTTTGACTCGACAGGGCTCTCGCGCAAAATAAACGCCCCAATTAAGAACAGGTTAAGAGCCATGTTGAAAAAAAAAACCACCGGCAGTGTGCTGGATTTTCTCTGGTTCGTTTGTTTGTTTTTTTTTCTTTTTTGGGCGATTTGACTATAAATTAGTTTGGATAAGGTATACAAATGTTTTCTCCCTGCACACAAGAATACATTTCGTATATTGGTTTAAAAAAAAAACGGATTGTTAGGCAAGATATTTAAAACAATCAATTTTTATAAAAAATTTACAAATGTTCAGAGGGAATTTTTTTTTGTTCACTAATCTCATTGTTTTTTTTTTCTAACACAAGATTTTCTTAGATGAAATTCGTGAGATAGATGTGCAGATTTTTCTTTCTATTTTACGAACTATAGTTTCTGGAATGTGAATCATTTCCTTCGAGCCCTAGATGGAAAATCGAAAAAAAAATTGAAAATAGAAAAGATGTAAAGAAAATAGTATATATAGAGAAGGTATACTGATGACCAATCTAAAATTGAAATTTTCGATTTTACTTATTTTAAGAACTAATTTTGGAATAATTTATTAATTAATCATTTCATAGAATCATAATAATGTAAGAAATATATATGTTTATTTGAACTATACACATTGGTTATTCTCACTTTTGACGTGTACTAATTTTAAATATATACGCTTCCATCATCTTCTTCAAGAACGTTTAACAATTTTGCAATCCACATTTTTGCATATATAAGCTCTTTTTTTAGAATAAGTCAAGATCAAAATCGATTTCAATCATCAGCATAAAATGAAAAGTTTAATTTTAAAATTCAATTCAATTCGTGTCAGTAAGTAGTTTTAAAATATACAAAGGTTGTAACTTATTCTCTGCAAGAGAGAGTAAAAAAAAAAGTTTTTTTTTACACCTCGCGTGTTTATATCTTACTTGGATATTAAATAGAACAAACTATGTACTATGGAAAACTTTAAAACCACTTTAAAATGAAATACTAAAAAAAAGTTAATTCGTTATTTTGAGTTTTATTAAATAAAAATTTTTTGTAATTGTTTTTCTATCTATAAAATTTGAATCTTTAAAAAAGTAAAGAAGAAGAAAAAAAAATAGGGGAGATGAAGAAAAAAAAGTGGGAGATGAAGTTTTTATGGGAGAAAGAAAATTTTCTGGAATATAAAATCAAGTTATATACATAGCAATTTTCCAATGAGTATTTGACGTCATAAAATTTTCTAAACGCCTCTTTTATGAACTCTGTTATCTGTTTTATGTAATTCTCTATCACCTTCACATATATATGTAGGGTATATAGGAAGTTTCATGTGCGCGCTCTATACCTAGTGATACGATCTTCTATGCACTTATTTTCTTTTGAAGAACATCGTCATCCTATTTTCCAGCTTATTCAGAAGCGCAAGAATTCAAGTGTACACACGCTCTGTGATATACTTTCTCAAGTTGAAAAACAGAAGTTCTTGATTTAATGAGAATCTTCTCTCACACATATATATATATATATATATATATATATATATATATATATATATATATATATAAAAGCTGCATATATGTGTAACATAATTAAATCTCAAGTATATTTTATAGCAGTAAATTCCTTTAATTTAACTAAATATTAAATTTTAATTTGAATTTATAAAAATTATTTTCTTAAAAAGAAATCAGTAATCGGATTGAGAGAAGAAAATTTAATGTTATCTAAATGGTAATAAAAAAGAAATGAGTTAATTTAGAAAATTAAGATTATCTATAAAAATGTCAATCAGACTACATTTATTTCTAATGGTTTCATCAACTTTGGGAAAAATGACGGGACACGACATTAATTCAGAGTCAAACGAGAGAGGCGTGAAATTGCTCAGATCAAAGTATTTTCGAAAAACGAAAAATTTCGATTAAAGCTGACGTGATAGTTTTTTCGTTGCTATATAGCTAAATCGCTCGTGCAAATGAACCTTTATACTCTTTTTTTTATACTTCGTCGTGTATATGAAGAATGGAAAAGGATACCTTGTTAGGTGTATATATATATATATATATATATATATATATATATATATATATATATATATCTGATTCAAGT